GCAGTAATTATGTCTATAAAGACATAGTTCTTTGAGATTAAACCAGACTTTCATTTATATACAAAATTTACAATATTTTCACTATAGCTACTACTATTTTTGATCTCCAATGCATTAGATAATGTCACCATGACACGCTAAATGAATAAATATGTTATGGAAATATTTCGTTCTAGTCAATTGATAATTATAAACATGAATATTTCTGTTTTTTTATACGCGCTTTGTTTGAAGAAATATTTTCAATTCAAGGAACTTTGATACACATTAACAAACCTTGAGAAATCAGCACAATCAACCTTCATCAAATAAAACTAAAAGACAAAAAATATAAGTTATGATAGTCAACATCATGATCAGTACAGTATTAAAAATACATTATTCATAAATCATGAGCACCAAATGTACCTTGCCTACGAAGCGCTAACTTTTTATCTTCAAAAACTTGAAAAAGTGTCATGGCGGTCGGTGTGAAAAACCTTAAAAAAGTGTCATATTGGCGGGTGTGCGCGTAAGACGAACAGTCCAATTTTGTGACGTCTAATGAGGTAAAGTGGTGTTATATATTAAGATGATCTTGCCACAACGACAAGGATTAAAGCAAAATTGATGTTCTGTTTGTAAGTTTTGTTTGTTTATAAGTGCTGTTAGTTGATAATTCAAACCAAGCCCCCAGAATAGCTTCTTATCAACTCGCACGTACAGTGTTCTGTACGCTTACGTCATGTCGAGAATTCAGTAAAATATATTGTTCAAAATTCATCAATAGTTCAACCACACTGTGCTTCTTTTTTGAAATATATAGTAATCGTATTGTTATTTAAAAAAATAAACTAATTTGGGCTGCTTTTAAAATAGCGATTTGAAAGATCGCTGCATTATTTACGCAGAAAATTGCCGCTAGAGGGCTCTAACTCTTTTCGATATTTCAGCCAATGAGAAGGCCAGGATCGGTGAATTTTGTCTGAAAGGCCGTGGCAATGTAGGTATTAAGTAATTAATACAATATTAATGAGGTGGGATGGAGTGTCATTCTTGTCAGATGGCCCCAACTTTTATCAAGTCGGTTATCCAGGGGTCAGGGCTAACATTTGGCATGTCAAGTTTGGGGCAATGGGACCATTGAGAAACATTGTGCCTATAAGGGGGATTTGTAATTAACCTCCTCACCTTGACAGGTTTAGCCAATGACAACCAAGGAGGTTTGTAGGTTACACTGCTGCACTGACCTGCCCAGCCACAGTCTCCAGAGCACTGTGGAGTGACCAGGTCCCACCTCCAGCACTGACAGGGCTTTAGAACCCTGAATGATAAACACCCATCCCACCCATCCCTTTAGATTAGATCTTTTATGTTGTAGTTATTAGTTGTATTTGTCTCTTAGCAGAAGACCAGTATTTCATTATTTGTGGACTGTGTTGTCCACAGATATATAATTTTGTAATGTTACATAATATTACATAATAATAAAATATTGGTTACTTTTGGCCCAAACCTGTGTTTGTGTTTTTACATACCCCTATCTACCAGTACATCTGATTAATAGGCTATGAGTACTGAGTATGTTTAGCCAAAAAGGCACATAGGAAAAGTCTCATCGATAGACGAAAAGTATTAGTAAATCTATGTTACTGCTGTGCGAAATTCTAGCGATATTGGTGCCTTGCCTCTTAAAAAATTTTGCCATCGAGACTGTGGGTTGCAGACTTGACATTCCTCTTCCTACTTTAAATCAGTTCCATACATCAGCATCCCACAATTTCAAGTGCACAAGGTACGGCTGTTGAAGTTGTGATATATGTAGATGTGAATCCAGTGTAATTTTTGAATTTTAATACCTGAGTTTAAAGGTTACAGGCTATGTTCTGTAGACTTTACGGATTTACATTGACAATTTTACCCATCCTCAGATGTGTTCTGTATCACTAATAGATTGATTAACACAGATTAAATTTTTTATGTAAAATATGCAAGATATCCTAAATATAATAAATACAAATTTTGGCATATTCAGTAAAAATAAAATATTTTTCCTCAGTATCAATGTAGTGCAGTAATTAAAGGACAAAATTGCACTGTTATCACTTAAAGGGAAAAGTAAATATAGGAGTAAGCATTTCTAATATTCATAGTTACAACATAGTTCTGAATGGATTCATAGACAATAAGCCAGGTCCCAGATTGTACCCTTAATGTCATAGGTAATGTTAGAAGCCTTGACATTGAAGTATTAGTTTTTTAAAGAACTTAAATTTCTAGATTTTACTTTCCATTATGACTGAACCTATTTTAAACGACATTTGATAAACTCCAATACATTATCACAGCTACATTTCCATTGATTGAAATAGTTAAAGAGTTCCAAATGACAACAAACAGACCTGTAAAGGAACTCTATGACACACAGATGGATCAGACAGAAAAAAGCCCCGAACAAATTTAGAGGAGAAGCATGAGAGTATACTTAATCTAGGGGGCATCGCTGTATAATAATTTGTTGACAAATGCTGGTTCTTCATGAAATATACTGGGAGAGAGCCAAAATAACAAGATAAACTGGCAAGTTTAGAAGAAGCATGGCTAAGGTTACAACTACGAGATAGTTTCTTTATTTTTCAAAAACAGCCAATTTGATAAATTTCATAATTTTTTAGAGCTATGTAAGTACTTGGGCAGTATCTATGTAAAAAGGAGTTACGAACACTGACTATAACCGATTCATAAATCAAGTTCCATAAGCCCATTGTAAATGCATGCAATGTTATGATTGGGATACATTTTCACAAAGGGTATTCTGTAAATAAAGAGTTGTAGGCATTTAATCTAGTACACTGCACATATCCTTAGTATGACTGAAGCACACAGGTTTCATCTTTGCTGTACTGTGGGCAAAGCTATACTCTGGACAAGAATAGAACGGACAAACCGTGTCAGAGCGGCAACTATATTTGCTTTGAAGGAGCAAAACAACAGAATCAACAATCTTGAATGAGTCATTGTGGTTTTCTATTGCTTGTTGCCGTATTGCAATATTTTTGTGCTTACAGCAAACCATTAAAAAAATCTTATCAATCACTTGAAACTTGAATCCGGTCAATCGACTATATGATGGTGCGTGTTCTTGTATTTAGTAATACATCTCATTTACACGCTTGTCTGACGCATATAAACGCTTTTCTCCTCATGTTTTACTTCGTGTTGCTAGTAAACTCTTTGGTGATACTGAACTTGGCACGAATTTTGGCGCACGTGTGATCCGTAGAAATGGCAGAAGAAAAAATCAGCAAAAAGTGGGTATTTTGTGTAGTTATAGACTGAAGCATCACGAGTCAAATTGTCTTACATTGTTCAAATATATTGATGAAAAATAGGTTATGTTTAAATGTGTTCATTACCATTCATATGCTGAATATTGCGTGCCGGTATGGAGGTCGCCAAATACCGACTACTTACTAAGACTGTCAATCTGTGTTATTGCATCATTCCTTGTTTACATCACCAGGAACGCTTTAGCTTATGCTCATTTTGTCAGTACCCACTACCAGTAAGGGATATTTAACTCAAAATTAACATTAAGTTGTACTTTTTGTACCAAACCAGTTATGGTAACTTTAGTAATGAGTACACGACCCTGCGTTTTAAGCAACACTTAAAGCCTTCATGCTTGACATCAGCAGCTGATGTGGCCATTTGTATTGCACTGACCCATCATCAAAAGTCCATTCAAAACATGACATGATCACTAACGCTGATCATGACAGCTTTTGGCCAATAGATATTTACCTGGTTTAAGGGTCAAAGAGAGAGTGATAACAGTTTTAAGGACTGTATGGTGATGCAATACAGCTTAGATATACATATATTTGGATACAATAACTGGCCTTTGTAGGGCATTGAAGGTGATGCAATCAGTGGAAAAACTTTTATATTAGTGAAGACTCATGATGGTGAAATACTTTGCCAAAAGGATATATAAAACTGTAACAAGTGAAAAATCAGTCAAGTTCTTCCTCTTATAGGAGAAAAGTTAATTTCTGAAACTGTTTATCAAACATTTTTGTGCGTTAAATTTCCGTAAATAATAAGTAGATGTGAAATATATTAAATACCATGGAAACAGTTTCTCCGGATCAAGACTCAGCTTCAGGTACTTTAAATGGTGCCATAGCTTTATATTCTATTCCAAACAAAAGGTAAGTTATGATCACACTTAATTGACACTTAAAATTATAAATTGGTTGATTAGTGTAAAGTGGTCATTGTACAATACTTTTGTTGCCCGGAATTTGGTATTTAGGCCTACATACTACAACATTTGAACAGAAGGTATGGTTTCATTCTGTTTAATAATAGGTGTTAAATTGACTAAAAGCAATTGTGTATTAGGTATTAAGGTATTGTGTTGGTCATTAAAATGATAATTGTTCATTACAAAATGCCATTTCACATAAACATACTTGTACAATCATTAATGCCTGTAGATTGTAGAGTCACTTTTCAAAAAAGTGAGCCTATAAGTGAAGCTGTTATGTAGCAATAGAAAAAGTATTTGGGATATTCTTGGCGGTCTTTGAATTTTCAAAATTTTTTTTATTTGTGTTGTTAAGCATTCATAATCTGTTCTTTTCATGTGCACCATTTTCCATAAGGAAGGATTTTTAGATTACTGTGCACCTGCTTCCAGATTAGGATAACTCATCATTTTTATGCTTTTCATTCTGGTAACACAACACAAACTCCAGTCTCTGTTTTTGTATGAAACAGTATGTAAATAAACACACAACATTTTGGATACTTCTAACAGGATTGAAAGCTTTGTCTCTTGCCAAAGGGTCAGTAAGTTATGTTGAAGGGTGTGATGTTTCCTTCTCGATGGTCAACACATAGCATTGAAATAAACTGGTCAGTCTGATTTCTAGCTTTGTGTGTGTTGTAAAGCTATTTTTTGTGTTGTGTATTTCATATAGGAGCAAGAACACCAGCTAACTATGATACTTCACGATCTTAATTAAGACATCTCCATTTTGGGTGTGTTGGGAGGGACAAGATGTTTGTTTTCCCTATGAAGAGAATTTTCCCTTTGGTGCCTCGCCTCTTAAAAAATTTTGCCATCGAGACTGTGGGTTGCAGACCTGACATTCCTCTTCCTACTTTAAATCAGTTCCATACATCAGCATCCCACAATTTCAAGTGCACAAGGTACGGCTGTTGAAGTTGTGATATATGTAGATGTGTATCCAGTGTAATTTTTGAATTTTAACACCTGAGTTTAAAGGTTACAGGCTATGTTATGTTGATTTTTCGGATTTACATTGACAATTTTACCCATCCTCAGATGTGTACTGTATAACTAATAGATTGATTAACACAGATTAAATATTATATGTAAAATATGCAAGATATCATAAATATAATAAATATAAATTTTGGCATATTCAGTAAAAATAAAATATTTTTCCTCAGTATCAATAGTACAGTAATTAAAGGACAAAAATTACACTGTTATCAATTAAGGGAAAAAGTAGATATAGGAGAAAGCATTTCTAATATTCATAGTTACAACATAGTTCTGAATGGATTCATAGACAATAAGCCAGGTCCCAGGCTGTACCCTTAATGTCATAGGTAATGTTAGAAGCCTGGACATTTAGATATTAGGTTTTTTAAAGAACTTAAATTTCTAGATTTTACTATCCATTATGATTGAACCTATTTTAAATGACATCTGATATACTCCAATACAATATCACGATAATACTTTCTGAAATTTCTCCAGGATGTGGTTAAAAAAAAGTTGGTTGTGTGATAGAGGGGACGATGAAATTTTTGCCATCCTATACTAACATGAAGATGATACCGTATTAGATAACATATGTAGACTTTCTATTAGCTATAGCCCTTTATACTGCAAAACTGCTTCCAGTTGTTAGAAATGTTTCATCGGTTATGTGGAATGGAATCAAGGTGTCATTTCCTTTTTCCTTATAGTGAGCTGAAACGTCGCCTTAAGGCAGAGAAAAAGGAACAGGAAAAGAGAGAAAAGGAGTTAAAGGCAGGAGAGAGTCAAAAAGAAGCCAAACCTAAACAACAGGATGAGGAGGAGATTGATGCAAATGTAAGAATACTTGTTTTCATGTTGTTTTGTATTACTTCATTTTCAACATCAGACATGCACATGGCATGTATACACTTGAAGATTTTTTTGTTGGGGGGGAGGGGGGGTTGGATTTAGAGTGTAGTTTTGTTTCCCAACTTTCTTGCCTTGTTATAATTGTAACTGTGGCCACGTTGCATGATTTGTATGAGCTGGAGGTGACCCAATTTGTAATTTGATCTTTTCTCTGCTTTCTAAACAACCATTTGTTGTCCCCTTGACATTGCCTCAGTTTTAGCTGTTAGTTGAGTTTTCAGTTCTGTCCCCTTGACATTGCCTCAGTTTTAGCTGTTAGTTGAGTTTTCAGTTCTGTCCCCTTGACATTGCCTCAGTTTTAGCTGTTAGTTGAGTTTTCAGTTCTGTCCCCTTGACATTGCCTCATTTTTCACTTTTTTGGACATGTTGTTCAAAGTTTTCAGTTCTACATTGCCTTTTTTTGACATTGCTTTTTCACTTTTTTGGACATGTTGTTCAAAGTTTTCAGTTCTATCCCCTTGACATTGCCTCATTTTTCACTTTTTTGGACATGTTGTTCAAAGTTTTCAGTTCTATCCCCTTGACATTGCCTCATTTTTCACTTTTTTGGACATGTTGTTCAAAGTTTTCAGTTCTGTCCCCTTGATATTGCCTCATTTTTCACTTTTTTGGACATGTTGTTCAAAGTTTTCAGTTCTGTCCCCTTGACATTGCCTCATTTTTCACTTTTTTGGACATGTTGTTCAAAGTTTTCAGTTCTGTCCCCTTGACATTGCCTCAGTTTTAGCAGTTAGTTGAGTTTTCAGTTCTGTCCCCTTGATATTGCCTCAGTTTTAGCTGTTAGTTGAGTTTTCAGTTCTGTCCCCTGGATATTGCCTCAGTTTTAGCAGTTAGTTGAGTTTTCAGTTCTGTCCCCTTGATATTGCCTCAGTTTTAGCTGTTAGTTGAGTTTTCAGTTCTGTCCCCTTGACATTGCCTCAGTTTTAGCTGTTAGTTGAGTTTTCAGTTCTGTCCCCTTGACATTGCATCAGTTTTAGCTGTTAGTTGAGTTTTCAGCTCTGTCCCCTTGACATTGCCTCATTTTTCACTTTTTTGGACATGTTGTTCAAAGTTTTCAGTTCTATCCCCTTGACATTGCCTCATTTTTCACTTTTTTGGACATGTTGTTCAAAGTTTTCAGTTCTATCCCCTTGACATTGCCTCATTTTTCACTTTTTTGGACATGTTGTTCAAAGTTTTCAGTTCTGTCCCCTTGATATTGCCTCATTTTTCACTTTTTTGGACATGTTGTTCAAAGTTTTCAGTTCTGTCCCCTTGACATTGCCTCATTTTTCACTTTTTTTGACATGTTGTTCAAAGTTTTCAGTTCTGTCCCCTTGACATTGCCTCAGTTTTAGCAGTTAGTTGAGTTTTCAGTTCTGTCCCCTTGATATTGCCTCAGTTTTAGCAGTTAGTTGAGTTTTCAGTTCTGTCCCCTTGATATTGCCTCAGTTTTAGCTGTTAGTTGAGTTTTCAGTTCTATCCCCTTGATATTGCCCCATTTTCACTTTTTTGGACATGTTGTTCAGCTTTACTTCAGGCGTGCTCATCTAAAACCTCACAAGTTATCATAACCATCAAAGGTCCTAGAGGTGTAATTTGTCAGAAAGTTTTGTTTTAATGCACTGTCACCAACTTTCCTGATTTTATCAGATAAACCTCATTGGCTATATTTAGACCTGCTTGTGAAACTGCTAGAATCATCTAACATCTGGTTACTTTTGATATGTATTTAAATGAAAAAAAAATGAGATCTGTTTCTGGATCTAATTTAGCTAAATCCAGGGGCCACACATTTTAAATATGTAAAAATGTAATAACTATACAATAGAATGGGTTATACATGTAATGCCTTTCTCATTAATGACCTTTTAAAAGACAATCATCCTCAATCTAAAAGGATTATGAAAGATTTTTAGCTTATCATTATCATATTGCAAATGTTAAAAAGAAATACAGCTTAATACTGATTATAGTGATACCATACGTTATCTTACTCAAGCATCTTACTCAAAGTCTCTACAATATTCAGCTCAGAGTGTGACTCTACAATTGGTTTGTTACATGCACTTCTGATACTTTGTGTACACAAAATAAAATAGAAATTGAAGAAGATTATTAAGTTCGAAACGGGTTTGAACAATTTTATGACAAACATTTATCATTGGTTGTAGGAATACTTTGCCTTACGCTCCAACTCTGTTCGTCAATGGAAGGAAAACAATGAGAATCCCTACCCTCACAAATTCCACGTCAGTTTATCTCTAACAGACTACATAGAGAAGTACAAGGATGTTAAGGATGGAGAGATACTGGAGGACACTGTCAGTGTGTCTGGTAAGTGTTGACAGTACATCTGTAGAAGCAGGAGTAAATGATATTTTTTTTTCATATTTTGCAATTAAATTTGATTAATGTATTAATGTGTGCTTTGTTAGAAATTTCAATGATTAAAATGTCATTTTATTTTAAATGCTATGTATTTGCAGGTCGTCTCCATTCAAAGAGAATACAGGGACCAAAGTTGATCTTTTATGATTTAAGAGGGGAGGGAGTCAAAATTCAGATAATGGCCAATGCCAAGTAAGTTCTGCTGTGTATTTATATCTTTGAAGAATCCATTATATATATGCACATCTATTTCATTAAGGATGCTTACAATTGTTATATCATTGCCCTGTAATGATTCCACCCCACACTGAGTCAGATATAAGTTGATCCCTGGCTTCTTGCTGGTCATTAGAATTAGTTAAATACTATAACATTTTATATATGTCCCAAAATTCCAGTGTACATGTACATAAATGTCCTGGTTAACAATCAAGTTGCTGTTTAACTTTCAGGCATAGTGACAGATTCTAGATTAATTGGATAGACTTTGCGGTTTATAACTGTCAGAGTCCAAAGTTCATTTTGACTTACTTTTCCATATTGGTGATTTATTATATAATACTGCCCCTGTTTAGGTCTGTCCATATCATGTATTCTTACTCATATGTGATAGTAATTGCAATAAATACATTGTGAACACTAGTGTGTTTTACTGTTTTAGATACTACGAATCTGAAGAGGCATTTATTGCCATTAATGACAAATTGAGGCGTGGAGATATTGTAGGAGTTGAGGGAAAACCAGGTACTTAGATTGTAAAACTATCTGTTAATACATGTGTCATAATTTCATGCTAGGCTTGTGATGATTCAATACTCATTTCTATAGTGAATTCATCCAAAGTATGTTTATATAAGTTTTTGTCAAATATATCTTGAATCCTTAAAAACTGTTTTTACTTTATTTGTTGTAAAGAGTTGTGATAATTGCTTTTTGTGTTTATCATATCTTTTCCCAAGATACAACTATTCAAATTATTTTGGTTTAAAGAATTTTTCGTATGTGGAAATACTGATTTGGATGAAAAATTTATTATTACAAAATTCATAATGTGATTTGTACCTATATAAAATCAATATTTTCTTCTGTACAGGTAAGACCAAGAAAGGCGAACTGAGTATTGTGCCGACCAAAATGGTTCTCCTCACACCTTGTCTTCATCAGCTGCCACATCTGTTTTATGGAGTCAAAAACAAGGAGACGCGCTACAGACAGCGTTACCTTGACCTTATCATTAACGAGGCCACGAGGCAGAAATTCATAACCAGAGCAAAAATTATAAATTATATGCGAAAGTTTTTAGATGAAATGGGATTTCTTGAGGTGAGATTTTGTTTCATATTAATTTCATTGTTACTATTACTTGTTTGTCATAAATTTTTTTTTTAAATTGGAATTATGTAATTGATAATATATAGTAGTAATGGGGCGATGATCAAATATAATCAATTTTCTCATCTGATGTGAAGATCTACTGTAAATTTTTCATTACCAATCATTGGTACCTAAATATTAAATTTGTATCATTCTAAACATGGAACATCATTTATTAGGTCATCTGTCCCAAAGGGTTTTGATACTTTCAAGGAATGTTAAAAATTTGAAAACATAAGATTTGTCAGACCACCATCAGTGAATTTTGTGGTTTGTCCATCTGTTTGTTAATTGTCAGATGACGATGATGGGCCATAGCCCTCTTGTTCCTTTATTTAAAGGGTTTTATGTCCAAATCTATAGCCTTTAGTCCTTTCATTGGATTAGTTAAAACTTGGAAATGATCAGGGCTGTTATTGATAGCAGTTTTACTAATAAGCTGATGCAGGCCATAATTTAATGGTGGGACTAGGGGGTGGTCAAGGGGAACACTGGTATCACACTCTCCTGTCACAAAGGTTTCATTTTTCAACTGGACGTATTGGCTTGCCTGCCTGACCTTATGGGTTTTCTCTGCATGCTGCCTGACACACAAGTGTGATTAATAGTATTTGTTTGTTTCGCAACTGCTTTTAGCTTTACAAATATTGTTCACCTTGTCTGAGATTCTCTTTCTCATTTTGTCAGGTGGAAACTCCATTGATGAACATGATACCTGGTGGTGCTACAGCTAAGCCTTTCATTACACATCACAATGAACTCAACATGGACCTCTACATGAGAGTAGCCCCAGAGCTCTACCTTAAGGTGAATTGATACTGGAAATTACTAGAAATCATCATCTCAATGTCTATAAATCATAGTTAGATTGAGAGAAATTTTATACCAGTAAACAAACCCTAGTGCACTAAATATATTTGAAACTGTTGAGTGCAGAGGATTGTATGGAATCTACCTTTATTTTCAAAAATGATTGATAATAATAGAATATCCAATAAAAAGTTGAAAATTCTGTTTCAGATGTTAATTGTAGGTGGTATAGATAGAGTGTATGAGATTGGCAGACAGTTTAGAAACGAGGGAATTGACCTTACACATAACCCTGAGTTTACAACTTGTGAGTTTTATATGGCCTATGCTGATTATGAGGACCTTATGAAGATCACAGAACAACTTGTATCAGGTAATTGTTTTAATATCTCTTTCACATAATTTAGAAATGTAAAGTTGTATTTTTTTACCTGCTTTTGTTTCTATATACTAAAGTTATAGATGTTACAGGATATGTATTTACAATACAACTATCTGAGAGAATGTTGTTCATGCTACATCTGGTATATATCTGATATAGCCCCATATTGGAAGTATATTATCAGTGCTATAATTAGCTGTGAATATTTTTCTCTTTTTGAAGTATGTTATCAGTGTGATAATGAGCTGTACATAATAATTTTTCCAGTATGAAGTATGTTATCAGTGTGATAATGAGCTATACATAATAATTTTTCCAGTATGAAGTATGTTATGAGTGTGATAATGAGCAGTATATGTTGTTTCTCCTGATGTGAGGTATGTTATCAGGCGTTTGGTATTTCCAGGTATGGTGAAGTATGTCACAGGAGGGTACAAGGTGAAGTACCATCCTGAAGGGCCTGAGGGACCTGAATGGGAAGTAGACTACACACCACCCTTCAAGAGAGTTAGTATGATCCCAGAACTGGAGAAAGTCTTGGATGTCAAGTTTCCCCCGGCAACAGAGTTTGGCTCAGATGGTATGTGTCTTAGTGTTAAAATGTGCGTGGCTTGCTAGGGTCAGTTTGAATGACAAAGTATTCCAGGAGAACATGGCATGGCCAGTACCTAATATGTTTTTCTGTCAGACTTTGTCTTTTTGATTTACCATAAATACCATAGGAAAATGTTCAGTGCTTATGCTACTTTGAGATAAAACTTTTCGACATCAAACACTGTTAAATATGGCAGCTATTGTTAAGTAATCAGGGGAAAAGTGATTTGCGTATTTAGAATTTTGATTTGAGAATAGATTGTTTACATTGAGGTATTGTAGATCTTATTACTTACAAATCCAAGATTTGACAAATATACTTCACTGAAGCTAGTATGACAGGATCTTTGTAAACATCAGTGATAATTTGCCTTTCAGTAAATGCTTGTAGCTGTCTAATTATGATCGAAGTACATTTTTTCACTCTCTCTCTTTATTTTAGTAATATCAGAAGTGTTTTTTTTTAATAATTCTAATTATTTGCATCTAACAGTTAGTGACTTCTGGCACTCATTTGATATTTCATAATAATAGTGTAAACATCGGGGAAAGGAGTTATCTGTCAATAATACAGGACCTTTGCAAACTATAAAAGTCCATCGGAACAGCAATTCTGTAACGAGGTAGAGAAAATGATGTGAAATTAGAGGATTTTAATTAGATTTTGTAAGTATTAGCTTCAGACCATTGCAATGATATGTTGAATTATATATTTCAGAAACCAGAAAATTTTTAGATGCTCAATGTGTAAAACATGGAGTGGATTGTACAGCACCAAGAACAGCAGCCAGGTTACTTGACAAGCTGGTGGGAGAATATATTGAAGAGAAATGTATTAATCCCACGTATATTATAGAGCATCCACAAGTCATGAGCCCCCTCGCCAAGTGGCACCGGACAATTCCAGGACTAACAGAGAGGTTTGAGCTGTTCACGTGTAAGAAAGAGATCTGTAACGCTTACACTGAGTTGAACGACCCCGTAGTACAGAGGGAGAGGTTTGCACAGCAAGCTCAGGTATTAAAACCCTTAAAGTCAGGTGTAATACAGTTTCTGAACTCATTGAATCAAGTATTTTGGGCTTGGTAGTAACTTTTAATTACTTTTGAAGTAACTTGATAATTTTGCTTCACAGTTACTTTTAACCATGAATGTTTTGAAAAGTTAGCATCTGTGCATAAAATTTTCAAAATAAGTGTACTTTTTTATTCATATCTAAGTAAAACCTGTACATACATGAACAAAAGAGGTAAATAAATTTGATGAAAATGCTGCTAAGTTGATTGTTTGTGGTTACATCTTTTATGAGCAATTTTTGTATAGGTATACTGATGATCATGTTTTGTGCCATTTGTGTACCTGTACCCTTGTAACAGGACAAGGCTGCAGGTGATAATGAAGCCATGATCATGGACTCAATATATAGGTTTTGTAGCAGTTCTATACCTTTGACTTTGTAACAGGACAAGGCTTTTGAAACCATGATCATGGACACAATATATAGGTTTTGTAGCAGTTCTATACCTTTGACTTTGTAACAGGACAAGGCTGCAGGTGATAATGAAGCCATGATCATGGACTCAATATATAGGTTTTGTAGCAGTTCTATACCTTTGACTTTGTAACAGGACAAGGCTGCAGGTGATAATGAAACCATGATCATGGACTCAATATATAGGTTTTGTAGCAGTTCTATACCTTTGACTTTGTAACAGGACAAGGCTGCAGGTGATAATGAAGCCATGATCATGGACTCAATATATAGGTTTTGTAGCAGTTCTATACCTTTGACTTTGTAACAGGACAAGGCTGCAGGTGATAATGAAACCATGATCATGGACTCAATATATAGGTTTTGTAGCAGTTCTATACCTTTGACTTTGTAACAGGACAAGGCTGCAGGTGATGATGAGGCCATGTTTGTGGATGACAATTTCTGTACGTCACTAGAGTATGGACTGCCTCCCACAGCAGGCTGGGGTATGGGCATAGATAGACTGTGTATGTTCCTCACAGACTCTAACAACATTAAGGTTTGTGGCTGTATTCACTTTTCTATGTTCGTGTATTATTATGAATTACAATGTCCATTGTCAAACATTATCCTTGTCAACAGATTCCTTTTCTTATTTTGAAGATATCTGAATTCAATTGTTCTTGTGTTGTATACTTATTAGCAAATCACTTCAAATTCTCATCTTTCGTATTTGCAACCCTTTTTTTGCCAAATTAGTGCTTGTTTAGTGAACCTGATGCAATCTTAAGAGATACTAGTTTTTGGTCAGTATCTTTCAAGAATTTATTTGATGGACACAAGTTTCTTGCTCCAAATACATTGCTTGATTAAATACGTGAATGTCTAGAAAGTCTTACTGCACTTAGTTCGAAGACCTATTCTTTAGCTCATGTGGACTATGGGAGAGGTCCCAATTGCAAGGTAATTTTCTGTAGTAATGTGATCCTGATCCTGTTAAACTATCTGCTGTTCTCATTTCTGTGGTTGTGCTGTTGTTGTAGGAGGTGCTGTTTTTCCCTGCCATGAAACCTGATGATCAGAAAAAGGGATCAGCCGAAGGAGAGGAAGCTGCATCTGAGAAACCTCCTACCTCATGAAACAGAGTTATCTCTCTTAGGACATACCCCAATAATGATCACAGATAATTTGAATCATGTACCAAGTTAGGAAACTATGATGTTTTCATCTTTATCAGGGAGATTTTACACGGTGCAGTTAGACAGTGATGTTTCACATATTGCAGAGATATGTAGCTGAATGAGTAAATTATGAATTCATTATTTCTGGAGAAAACAGAATACGGACTCCATTAACATCAATCATGTTATAGTTGCTGTTCCTGCCATGAATGAAAATCTGCAATATTAGTTGGAATAATGATAACAGAAGTGATTTAGATGACATGTATGTAAACAACACAGGTCACATTCTCGTGGCATTCTCTGTGTCAAAGGTGTGAAAAAACATCCAACTGAGATACGAGACCTAGTTTTCAAATCTTCTACAAGCCATTGCAATGTATTAAAAAATCACAGTGTATGTTCATGCTTCTTTAATCTGACAGGTTTATCTCAAACAGTTATTGTTTCCATCCTTTTATTCATTGAAGTGGCTTGGTAAACCGAAGCATACAGGTTACATATTTGTATACCCATATCGTGTCCAGCCTGTCTGGGTAAAGACCAAATTAAGTTAATAAAGAACTGTCAATGACTAAGTGTACCTACCATTTTTTGACACATATTATCTGATATTTACACAGAAAAATTAGATCAGGTTTCTTAGTTCTTATTTGATTTTTTTCAATAGATTTGAATTTGTTGGCCAATGATTATGCATGAAAATGTATATTAAGATAACATTGATGTATTTGAGATATCTTTGAGTGCTTACAAAAACTATAGGTATGATTCTTAATTTAATTCATTTTATCGACTGCTTCAGCTTTAACTTGCCTGCAACAATATCTCTATTTTTAAGTGTTTTGTGAAATGTTTTATAATGGATTGCACACAATTGACACATGTATCAGGGGATATTACCAGAAGATATGGATCAGTGCATATTATCAGTATGATTTAAGGACATGATACCTACAACAGTTAAGTCAATTATTTATTAATGGGTAATGCTATTACATGAAATCTATAGCCGAATAAGTTATCATAAAACTTTCACATTTTTGTTCCCTGTCAACAATAAAAGTGCTTTAACAATGTTTAATTCTTTTTGTACATTTACATGGGAATTGAATTTTTTCTGCCTTCATTGCTGCCTTTGTCACCAATATGTTCTTGATAATTTAGCTCTGCCTTTTTTGGCTGCACTGCCTTCAAACCTGTCATCACACACTGTTTCACAGCTTTTAAAGGAACTATGCTTGTATTGTGTAGCTGAGGGTTGAAGTTAGTTGCCAGATTCATTAGATTCGGTTATCCATTCAGAAAATTTGGGAAAAAAGAATAAGATTATGTTCATTCTGAAGATACAAGAATTCTTTTCAAATGGAAGGTGCCCAACAGTCAGGAATGTGTCTGAAACATGTAGAAAAAAATTCCCACAATTTCAGGGTAATCTGTATCTGTCAAAGCTGTTAATTTAAAAAAATGTTGAAATAAGTTGGGTGTATTGAGGATTAGTGAAAAGCAAGAATGAAAATTGGCTTAACCAAACTTGTTACTTAGAAAAAAGTATTAGCAACTTGCTTTAGGAAATTGTGGGTATATATATAATATATATACAAAATTGTAATAGGCACAGTATGCATCAAATAATGAATGAAAATGTCCATAGGATCATATGTTAATTTTTCTAAAGTCAAAAGTAGATATATGTAGGTCAAATATGCTAGTCGAGGAAGGAGGTATGATACCATCAGGAAATGTAATGAAACTTATGTGATCGATAAGAAAAACAATTCATCTAAAGAGAGAATAGAGACTTTGGTGAATGACCAGGTTTTTCTACCTTTTTTGTGATAAACTCTTTATTAATTCACCCATGTGTGAAAATTTAACAGTCGGCCAAGTCTAGCCACCAAACTTCATGAATGTTTATACAAAACACACAAGAGAACAGTACCTTCTTGTACAAAATTAAAATCAGATGAAGTAGAGCCAGAAGTGAATTATACCCCATCATACAGCTGTTCTCTCCCCGTGACTCGTCCTTGATGCTAAGGGACTAAAGTGTTGGAACTTAGACCGCGATTGAAGAAAATCAAATTTGATCGTTTTTCATCTTTGTTATTTCACATTGGGTTGTTACGTTTTTACAACCAAGGAATTTGACCTCGTCTATGACAAGAACATAATCCAATACCAAATAACACATATGAAATGTAATGGTTGTTTCACATCTGGATGTATTATATCTTAAGACATTTGCTTTTTTTTTTTTTTTTTTTAGTTTTTTAACTTTAATCAGTTCACTGGATTACGTCACAAGTTAACGGGTTGCCGTAACATGTCTGATATTATCTGTGCCATACAACGTCATCACCGACGATAGAATCGCACCTAGGCCGTTGACCGTAATATATAAACTGGCGGATGGTTTATTTTGATACTTTCAGATGGCTATGAAGGTGACAAAGTGCCATTTTAATAAAGATTATATGTTGTGTCTGAAGATAATCAAGGATTACCATGAAAACTGCACATTTTAACATAGAGGCCCTGTCAAAATGAAGTGTACCAGGATAGATCATTTCTAGGTAGAATAATGGTGGCCGAGTGGTTCAGGCTTTAACCCGTCTTTATCATTTGTCCATCATCAAACCAGCAAACCACATTTGACGATAAAAGCCTTTGAGTATTTGTTTTGCTCCAAGTTTTTATTCATCTGTAGTCGTCACTTTTCAAGATGACAGTATGGCAACCTTAGATTGCTGAACGTTGTTTTTACAAAATCTGACCACTTTGAGTGAAACATCCGTTTCGGTCATATGTTGTATAACATTATCTAACTCGATACTTAGTCTGCTGTTGGTTTGTGCCAAAAAACTATTTTCTTTTTATTGTATTTTCAAATCTACATTTTCTGACATGTATAACAGTATAGAAGATGTTCATGAACAAAAAGTCTATATTGGGGTTGGTTAGCCAATATCTGTGTTGATTTACTGAAGTTTTCGCATGCAGTGGAATAACCCACCTACTCCGTGAAAAATAATACTGATTTTTAATTCTTTTACAGCAGACATACATGTTAGATTTGTGTGTGATTTTTCAGATTATATAGTAAATACAAACACATTTAAAATTATTACAGTAAGCCCTTGGATGATTAACACACCAGTGTATTCCACATACACAATATCATGTAGATTCCGATCAATTCTTCACTTCATTATCAATAAGTAGCTCTCCTCATCATTTCCGTATCAAACTTTGAAAATCGATAAAAGAACAATATCACTTATTTATTACAGGAGATTATACAATGATATTGGTGTAAACATTGCAAATCTACTCCCGGTAAACATTACAAATCTACGGTAAACATTGCAAATCTACTCCCGGTAAACATTACAAATCTACGGTAAACATTACAAATCTACTCCCGGTGATAGTGTAGCCCGCATGGTTTTCGCGAATAAGATCTATTAAATCAGATAACTTCTATTATTTTCCAAAGCGAAATATTCGCGTTATTGCTCTTTTGTTTTTAGATATTACTGATGCCGTTCTTGTTTTTACATAGTCATACAGTTCATGCATGTTTCTTTAACTTCACATACTTTTTATTTGTTGTATTTCTTTTCAGAAATATTTCTAATGTGTTTATGCCTTGCTTTACTTTTACGTTATTTGTCGACAATACGAAAGCGAAGTGCCAGTTGGGGAATTCTCCCAAAAAAGTAGTCCGAATCACTACGCACACAGAAAACATTGTACCAAATATTTCTACTTCCATCGGAATTGCATGATACTGTCCAGATTTTATCTGAAGCATTCTTGGGTGTAGAGGAATAAATTTTGCATAATTGGTTTGGGTCGACTCCCTAAGGCGACAGGGAAAGGGTCCGATGAGGAAATAGTGCAAATTGCTTCTGAAAGAATGTCTGGATTGTGTCAATACTTGGTCTGCATGATCCTTGAATAAAAGGGAGTCATTTTTGTACAAGTGACGGGCTTCCGCCCTCTGGAGCGGTAGGTGGGGCTTAATAGAATAAAATAAAATGAGTAGGTACTTTGAAATTTTTCAGTACGAAATCGTAAGGATTTTGCCCAAATTGGTTTGAAGCAGCCATGGATGAAGGGAAATGCGTTTTTTAAAGAGGCGATTGGATTGGTCTTGGTTCCCAGGAAAGGGAGGGGTCCAAAAGTATATTTGGAGCAAATTCTTTAAATTCCATTTTCTTAAGTAAAAATGCCATAATTCTCTCCCAATTCGGCATGAAGTATCCTTGAATAATTTTGTTTAAATAAAGGGTTTCGGTTTCTCCGGCTGGAGGTGCAGGTCGAACAGGAAAATTTGAGCTACTTCTTTAAAATCCTTCTTTTATAGCAATGTCACGATTGTGTCTCAATTTGGTCTGAAAAAACCATTGGTCTGGACCATTGGGACGGGGGGACAGAACAAATTCTTCAAGTCTTTCCTCTGTAGAAATGCCAGGGTTCTCTAGAAATTTAATCTGAATGATCGTTGAGTGACGTGATTTAATAGTAGGTCTTTGCCCACTGGGTGCTGAATTAGCCAGTGTGGGACCCCATCGGTATCTCTTATATTTATTTATTTATTGTTACAAGTCGCGTATACAGATATTTTGATTGCGAAAACCGATTTAATCATATCAGATTAAATAGTTTTTTATCTCATTTTCAGTAGCATCCATGTAGTTAGATATCTAGACTTCACAGTAATCCTGTTTCACTTTCTTTAGTATAAATTGAAAATTCATGCTTTGGTTTGGGACACATTTTATAAAATTGTTAGATATTACGGTCACTTGAGGAGGACAATTAGGATGATGGTATCGTTACACATGCAATTAAATTATATTAATGCTATTTTTGATCACGTATACGTAAAGGACATTTCATGTTCACTACAAAGTACTGATTCATTAAAAGATTGATCTGGAATACCGTTGTCAGAGAGCAACATACCTGTAGCCTACTGAGAGGTCTAGCTATTATTTTCAGTGCCAGTAAGTACATTCTCATTAATGTATTTTGATATTCCTGGAGGAATAATCATAATCTAATTTTTTTTTTGAAATGTCATCCATTGCAGAGAAATGTATACTGTATACGTACTTAATTAATTTGGCACAGTTCAATTTCAGTACACTGTGACTTTATTGGCAGGTTAACAGAAAGATGAATTAACATCATAAGCTTTAATTATGTGGAGTTGTGCTGTCAAGCGTCTATTTACGATTTTTGTGTGTATTGGGTGTGTCCGTACGTGTAGACAACGACCACAGTATCTGTATCTGTTGTATTTGTACATTTCATTGTGATACCTTTTCTACTCTAAGATTCACCCTGGAGATTTGATTAAACTCAGATATTATTTAGCACGGACGATGCTGATTTGTTGAAATAGATGTTTGATAATATTTGTTAAATAGATGCTTGATAATATTTGTTAAAATAGATGTTTGATAATATTTGTTAAAAAGATGTTTGATAATATTTGTTGCAGTTTCTTTTTAGTACAAATTAGATCTTGACCATTTTTAAGTTTTAAGTTTTTTTTAGCGATATCGGAATATTTCTTAGTGGTATTTCTGATAGCATCTGAATGAAGTTTGTCAATGTATGTAAGAGTTTATGTGTTTCATTGAGGATGATTCCAGTTGTTCTCACTGTACTGTACTGCTTGTCACTTTAGTACATTAAACTGAATACATGATATTGTCATCGACATGGTATATGCACGTTATTCAAAAGTCTAGAAATAAAAATGTGTTTGTTCTAGTCTGGCTCTAGCTGCGCTCATGCCACTATCACTGAATCTGCAATTTGAGATATGATTTTATGTTCATGGAATTAAGCTCGCAAGTACCCTACAACACCCTTTCTTGAAGTTGAATGTATTTTCTACTTACGGTAGTAGAATACTCCATACCAGGACATCCTATTGCACAAAGGGATTGGTTGTTTTATGCGTACGTCTCCCTCTTTACATTACATCCGTGTTAATTTGTATGGGAAGTTTAACTTATTTTCAGACCTGTTTCTTGCAAAAGAACCAGTCCACTCATCATGCAGTCCTTTTGTCACGCTCTGATTTGCCACGTCAATTTTAGCACATAGGTTGTAACAGAGATGTATTTTGTTACTGCACAGAATGCATTTGTGAATTGATATATTTATGCTATTTTCGAAGTTGAAATGAAATCGCGAAAACTGGGTAATAACGTCGAACTCCGTTAATTTGGTGTTTTCTCAAGACCCGATGGCTTCGATTAAATGAAGTTTGACTACATGAATATAAAATTGATGGAGAAAATGATAATCCATTGAATGACTTTTGTCAAAAAAAGAAATAAGTTTTAGTTAGATCTGTGAAAATGTGCATCAGAGGAAAATAATCGTTATATGTCCACACTTGCTTTACCTCCCTCTCTAACGTTTACACTTTATCATTGTTGTAATACTGTAAAAACATTGATTTTCGTTGATTTTTAGGTACTTTTAATCAGTGTATTTATATATCTTTGAACTGTTTCAGATAATATATTTACTGAATCATAGTCATCCACGAAATCAAGTGTCCGCGAAAACACTATCTATTGTTCATAACTCTTTGCTCTGCTCTTTATAATGAATATCCATTCAGAAAATTACACAATGAATACCCCAGAACTGCAGAGCAGGTAGATTTGTTGAATAAGAAATAATGCAACAGACAAGACACCAGTTGGTCGGTATAATTTATTTGGAAGATTATAGTTTGTAAATTTGATTATTCATTAGCTAAATGGAACAAAAGAAAAAATGACACGTAACAATACCAAAACAGCACTTGATAAACATGCCCGGGGTGATGGTATATCAATGATTTATAGAAAGGCTTAATTTAAGAAAAGTAGGTACAGATTTGAGCAAATACGTATATAAGGTGTGTTTGTTGAATCGTTATGAAAAAAATACAGATAAAAGAGAAAGGTAGAAAAAAAAAACATCATGTCGATGTGATGCCTGCGTTTGTTATGATCAGACAATAACGTTTTAAACAATGATTGTTCAATAGAAGTAAGAAATAGTTAAGATTTATTCCACTGCATTACAGTGACGTGATTCTATAACCAAAATTAAATAAATCATAGTGAACTGGGGAAAGTTAGTATTTAGAATCATTTTAAGTACATTGTGCCATCAATCCCATTTTCTAATTAAGGTCATTTGGGATATCAAATACAAAGAAAAAAGAGATGTCGACAAAACAAAACCCTCTAATATTCCCTTGAAAAGTAGAAGTGATCTTTCTTTGTACCCCAGTCTAGGTAAACTTTTCCTGCTGAGAAAGCAAACATATCTAATACTTGAGCCATATTTTGTATAGAAATTGTTCCATTTCAAACGGCATTATCGACACAAACTTGAGCGACACGGACATTCATATGGTAAAGTATAGGTGATTTTTTATAATCTAAAACAATTCATAAATATAATATTTTGAATATACAAACAAAGAGGAATGTTCAAAAAGAGATTGAAAATTTTAAACAAGATAATAATTCATTGTAAGCATTATATTTACATCACTTGGAACCAATACAAAAGACATATCCATGCCAAATTGCAATCATAGCCGTACATATTCACGTCCATATGGGAGATAAGGCTGAAATTAAAACTGTCCAATATCGGGAGACGACGCTGGAAATACTTAATGCATTATAAAAACATGGATAAGTGATATTACAAGCTATTAACATAAACATTGAAACGAAATATTTCATAACATATAATTTGACCGTATAGATATACAAAGTAATTAATACAGCTGATATATAAGTCATTGCTAGTCAAGGTCACTAATTGTATCACTCGTACTAAGTATATACTGACATCACGAATGTAGGAACACAACAAAACAAAATAAATTACCTTTAAGGGTTTTTCATACTCAACAGTCAAAACATGTAACCTTTCCGGCATTTTCATTGGTCTTCATTATCTGTTAACATAAATATTATGGCAAATATTTGCCTCAGATTCACACTCTCTCGTTTGCAAATACAGTGGCTTTCCTTATATACGAATTAGATACGACAGAAGACATGTTAGTGACCCTGACTTGTGGGTTCTTTGAAATACATGCTAGACTTTGGCACATTCCGTTTCACTGGAAGACCTGTTATATGACATGAGGACCATGGTCAGTTCGTCAAGGTTGATTTTCCCGTCATGATTAAGATCACACTTATCCAAAAGAATCTTCTTGCACTCATTTAGATCCTCTTCGTCATAGTCCTGATGCAAATAATGTGAGCATGTCAGTTAATTGTGAAAAAAGAACATACCTTTGAATCAGATACTATGCCGATTTATGATCTAAGCTGCATTATATAGCTAGCTCGTCTTTCAAAGTGAAGAAATGAGGAAGGCAATGTAAGAAATCAAACTCGGAAACACTTGATGTAAAAATATCTAATTTTATAATATTTTCAAAGGAATGATAGTTACACGTGAATATAGAAACAGCCATTTTGATGAAAAGCGCTACCTTATATATATATGAAACTGTTTTCTAATGCTTGACTCTATGCAACGAAGGTAGGTAAAGAAATCAAGGATACACAATACAAGTTATTTTATTACCATTAATCAGTTTTTTCGCAAAACGTGTACTTGAGTCTATTACATTATTTAAATAAAATTATGGATAATTGGAAAGGTATTATGGTTGGAAGTTATAAAGGTTTTATTGTACTGAGAGCAGTGCAAGTATTCTCGGTGTTCTTTGTTGACTCACAATAGGCAGTCCGTTAATAGTTATTACACAGTTTTTTAACAACGTCAAAAACAAAATGTGGAGGTGCAATGAAAACTTTGTACATTGTTTTTCATAAAATTAGGTAATCGTTTTAATCTATTTATTGGAAATGCCTTATAAATATTTTGAGGGGGGGGGGGGGGGGGGGGGGGGGGGGGGAGGTGCGATGAAAAGTGAACATGAAATAATGAGTCAGTAACTTGTTTGCTTTGGTTTTACGAGTGCAACATTTTCGCAACAGCTAGTGTCATATGAGGGAGGCTGTCAGGAGGGACACCAAAAATTCGGAAATAAAGCACAGATAGAAAGTGTTGCTAGGCAGTAAAGTAAAGATCAATATCCAAAACTGTTCCAATGAAGGCAGCAGAGCTATCTAGGTCACTTTAACGTTCCCATGGTAGGAGACACGGACAAAGAATGGGTTTGCAATGGATCGAAATTTTGTCGCCTGTTACGATGATGCAGTGGAATACAGCATACCATATTCCACTACAACGTCATTTTCAAGTCGTGGATATTTCAACATATATCAAGCAATATATTCTGGTACCACTATCATTTGTAAACCACCGGAAATAAATGTTTACTACCCCGATTGCCTTATCATTTAGTTTATGTGATTAATGATACAATATCATCCATCCAGTGCGTTACCATGTAGTCAGTATCATGGGTATTACAATGGCGACGAATCATCGTGAAAATAATTGTTGCATTTGACGGTACAGTCAGTAATGAATTATTTATTTTAGACTTGTTATAATCGGCATAAGACAGAAACGCAGGTTAATGACGGAGATACCTGAACTAGGTTTGTGACATCTTTCCTACAATATTGTACGGAAGCGTATTAGTGCAACTTTCAAACTTTTTTATTTTATGTTTTACACTCATTAATCTGTATATTTTACACAATTATCTGTAAATATTAATAAAAAAGGGTAACATAACTTTTAATTGCCTTCATATCATAACTCACAATAGAGACCATAGAAAATCAATACGGATGTAGGTATATGTTATAAAAATTCCACATTGAACTTAGTTGATATCTCTTCACTAAAATTTTGGAAGTGTTAGAAAATGTTAGTAAATGTACACGATTATTTTGCGCATTGCGATAGCAGGGGATACGAAGGAGGGATAATAGCCCTTGATGAACAATTGTTAGTAAAACGGAAAACATGAATTATGTTGCATAGTAAATGATAACAAAATCTCTGTTCTGTTGCCTATCTGAATTGCCATATGTAAGAAATACGAAAATATCACTGAAGAGTCACTTCTCTTGCACAGTGCCATTTGGTATTTTAATCTCTTTGTATATGCTTTCTAGCAAAACGAGGAATGTCATGCGGTTGTGTGGTAGAGTCAGTTGTGTTGTCCCTCAAAATGTCAAAATCTTGCTAACCTTATCAATATACCAGGGGACAGTACGTAACTTTACTGAAACGTATTTCTTAAGAAATGAATTAAATCAGAGTTGGAGGATCTGAAAACTAGGTGGTGTACATTTCTATTTGTAACAATGAACCATTCTAACCCCTATATTGTGTGGAAGCGTTTCCCACCAGCGAATAAAATTGTTGAATGATGTGATTATATGAATCAGCATACTTTGATGAAATAGACGTGGTTTTAATATTTCTAGATTTGTAAACACTGATCCAAGGGGGCCCGATTCCACACAAATTATAATTCAATGAACGCAGTAAACGTATGATCTTTCATTTTATTTCACACATGCGAATCCCTATAGAAATGAAAGATGATACAGTTACGGTGTTCATAGTAAACACCTGTTCCCCACATAAAAATGATCGTTGAAAGTCATACCTTTGAGCCAGCTGTCTTTCCCTGAACAGTAATGATAATTGATGAATGAACAGGTTAATTGGTTATTTAACAATGTTTGTCGTTTAAACGTCAAACTTTTCTTGTTGTTTCAGTCATTAAATTTTTTGACATTCAGCACCACGTTCTGAACAATCTGATAGCTTTCACAATTACGTTTATATAGAAAAGGTACTGATATTTGTCCCGAGTAAATTTTACAGAATTATTCGTAATCGATTTGGAAAGTGTCAATGTCAAAGTAATTATGCTATATATGAAATAGAATTCAAATACAAATACCTCTTCTACGAGTTCCATTAGGTCTTTAAGGAAGCCATTCAACTCCTCATTTTCTATCGAGCCATTTCCATCCTGTTGATAAGAAACAAATAGCATGTCATCAACCATTTTGAATCTCCCGGATTACCCATTTGAAATTAATTGGCATGCTGTGCCTCTAGATTGATACATTTACCCAGTGGACTGTAAGCCTGGACATAAACTGCTAGTTCATCTTTTGAACCATTAAATGGATGACACATATATCTACACAAAGGTCATGGACCTTTGTTGTTCTTCAATATTTCCAATGTTAATTATGTAAATTCAATGACCTTTTTTATCAGTTTTTCAGGACAGGTTTAGCGTATCCTTTTCGCAATGATAATAACATACAATGTAACCTCATATAATCAGGAACGTCCAATACGCTTTAAATGAATACACAGCCTATGTGGATACAACACAGAGGTTGCAGCAGTTCAAACGTACGACTTAAAAAAACCTTTGCCATTTGTAACCAATTTTTATAACCTGCATAATATTATAATAGTGGTTTCATGCTTGTTATCCAATGTTAAAATCACAACATACATACCCTGTCGTAGAGGCTGAACACTCGCTTAATGTCATCGTCCGTCATTTTGTTTGCACTCTGTGAAAAAAGAGTTCTGACAAATGCAAGTTATCAGATACTATTTTCTGTAAAACCGTTAACCTGATTTTATGATGTCTTAATAGCCAATGGTGTCATATGCCTATTGATTCATCTAACAAAACGTTGCAAAATCATATAATTATTTTTATCATAAAGTCGAAAACGAATATCACGGTCAACACATTAACCGAGATAAAGTTAATGGTCTATAACACGTGCGTTTTGTCGTGAATAGTTCATTCGATGGCAATGCAAAATACACATCAAAACATTTTCAAATTCATATCGCAATTATTGAGTCTTGTAACATTATTTATAAAACAAATCATAATGTATCACTCATTAGTATCACTTCGATAACATCTTTGAAGTTAGATATATGTAACATATTAATATCACTCCTGGCACTCACAAAACACTCTATATCATTAAAAAAATTATAAAACGAATGAAAAGGCATTTCTAATTTTAATCCAAGTAAGTAGATAAATTACTTGTAGTACTTCTGATATCTATATAACTTACTTTGAAAATATATCAATTACAATAACTTCAAACACAAACATGGATAGATTTTATTCAAATTAACGAAGATATTGAATAACTATCGTCATGTATGTATAGATAAATCCAACAAGGCAGTAACTGATATTGCTTCAAAGATTTCTTAATAGAACTCAAAATAGTAAATGATTAAATGATTATTTCTAATGGAGGATTTCATTACGCTGTAGTTAAAAGACAAGTACTAGTAAATATAACTACTGTTATACTACTGATATATATGAGATACCGTAAAACTACAATAATCAGGTCATTGTCAAAAGATTAACAATTTGATTTGAACGTGAAATATACACAATCCATTCTCATAAATTCTACTCAAATAAGTAGGTATGAAATCTAACTGTTCAGCGATGGTAAATGTTTAAAATATATTGGATTATAATTGCATATGTAATATTCAACATTAACGCAATGATTGAATTAATGTCTTTAGAAGAACAATGAAAGTGCATGAAGCGTTTTCCATAAACAGTAATATTATCTACGTGAATACGTTTAATGTTAAACTTTATACATATCTGATAATTGAAATATCGCTACGCTAAGATTACATATTCAATAAAAACAACTATTCTTGGTGATCTAAACAGGACAATCGACTACAAACGAAAAGAAATTATATATATAAAAAAAATTAAAGCAAACGTTGAAGTTGGAGATGTGTCAGAAAGTATGAAACTAGTAGGTAACAAAGCAATTATCAACAATGATAAATCATTTAGCATCATTAAAAGCTAACTTCAACGTTCAGATACCTACTATCATGAAGTATGAGTCGAGCATAATGTGTATCAAATGGACATATAATGTTGCATGGTCTTGTTTCACACACGTATATGTGCTGTAGGACATCACTTTTATTACACGATCATGCGTTATGTAACAAACGCCATGTACTAGGTGAGGAGTAATATGAACGCAAAAAGTAACTCTGGACGTCATTTACATATGAATGTGTACTGGTACAAAATTTGATGAAACTGTGTCTATGATACAGCGTTGCGGGATTAATTTCTATTGCTGTTAAAAGAAGGCCTTCATATTTTGAAATGATGTTGGCTTTCCAACTTCACGTTTTTATGTAATATGATAATTACATGAACCAACCAAAGTTTTAGGTCTTGGTTTCATTAACTCTTATACAAGGTTAAATCAATGAACAATCTGCTAATTTGTTAAATGGCTATCAATAAGAAAGGCAATACCAGCGTGTGGTCTACAGATAAGGTATAACTCTCGGCAATGACCCATTCTGAACCAATAAAGATATTCCTTGCGTTTTTATATCGCTTCCTATACCACGATGGGGTAATATATTCTTATCTTATATTGCTCCAGCTTTCTGGTGCTCAAGGTGTGTATTGATTTAAAATAAGATCGTATCGAGACTTGATATCAAGATAATGTCATAAGTCTGTTCATTAAATGACCATAAAAATGATACTACAGACCTACCAATGGAGGGTCAAATACACTACGAAGCAAATACAGGTTTGTTTATTTGAGAAACTATAGTATTGTTTTTAGGATAGGAGTAAATTTGTAAGTTTCTAGTTTCTTTCTACCTTAAGCTGCTTCCCATCTTCGGAACGTTAATCAATCGAATAGTTGATGGTTATTAGCAAAATGCTTACAATATGACAAAGCAAATGGACCTTAACAGAGTGCCCATGAAACGACAAGTACACTATGAACATGTTAATGTGTACATGAACTATCCATGGCAGAGTGATTAAATGTTCCGAATGTTGTTAAAATTGTTTCCATTCTAACTTCTTTTGCTGCAAGTGAGACTAGGCAGTGAAATCACTAATCATACTGTCATTAATGTATCAGAAATCAAGTGAAATATATTATATTTACGTTCATTAGTAAGCCTACGAAGGTAATAGATATAGAGCAGAAACACACTTGGTTTGTTTGTCTGTTTAGGGCTTTGGATTCCTGATAACAAATTATGAGGATGTGGCGAGTGTATTTTCTGTGGATGTTCGTACTATTTAACCCATGGACACTCGTTAACCTTCTTTTGTGTGCTACTGTATCTAATTATTGAGACTTTAATATTCTGTTATAAGTACTTAACTGTATCTGATTGCGTAACGTAATACATGTGGTTTTTACAATACTGTATCAATGTAGTCACCATTGGGCAAAATAGGTTAGGATTTTAATATAAGATATGGAAAGTTATTGAAGCCTTCGTAAATGACCTTCAGTAGAATACTAGTAGGTAAATGTTACTCTCTTGAAGAGCTGTAAAACCGTAAAGCCTTAGGATTAAGTCCGCTTGTAACATGTATCAAATGTGTGTCATATCAAGTGAGTAGTTGAACAGCTCAAAGAAAGAACAAGAACAAAAAGCTCGTTTCATTAAAGTAATAACTATCTTCAAAGTGGTTGCGTTAATTGTTCATTTGATTTCCATTTAACTCCATAATCTAAGGCATCTCATAGATTCATGCATCATATCCGAGTAAAATTGATTCACTTCTTACTGTACAAAATCATCTAATAATATAAACACGGACAATAGATATGATCTTTCCAAATTTTGACAGAAAAATATTTTCAAGGCATGACTAATTAAGTCTAATATTGCAAGAAATGTGCTTGAGATTGTATAATATGAGAAAGAGAGAAAGAGATAGATTGATGTTGAGTTCATGCTCCATGCCATGCGATGCTAGTACATGTTGTTGAAACTTATACGTAAGTGAAGGGGATTACATCGTTCTTCATCTGAAATGTAGACATATCTATGAGTAAATTCTTCATCTGAAATGTAGACATATCTATGAGTAAATTCTTGATCTGATAAGAAGACATATCTATGAGTAAATTCTTCATCTGATATGTAGACATATCTATGAGTAAATTCTTCATCTGATAAGAAGACATATTTATGATGTGTCTTCATTGTGACACTTCGACCAAAAACGTACAAAATAAGTCATAAAGCTTAAAACGAAAAAATGTTTTTATGGACAAGTAAAAGGTAGTGATTAAATATAATGTGACAATTGATTTCTTTCTCTTAGCACGTTTGAGAGAACCATCATCTTTACTTTAATTGCTAAGTGATAAACGTGATATTGGTATTGATCGAGATATTAGAATGAAAGATGATACATGATGATTTTTTACGGGGATGCACTCAATCATGACAAAAGTTTCAATTGTGTGTCCTTAAAAGCATTATGATGGCGATTTCAATAACTTTGACGTGTCTCCATATTACCGGAAGATCGGGTGATATGTGTGATGTACATCGCGTATTTTGCGGAATATTGCAGCTATCTTTTTTTTTTATCTTTTATCTCTTTTGAAGAGTTCAGTTTTAGTTGAAATAACGCTAATGTTAATATCATGTTATTATTGCATGACAGACTATATGATATGATTTTACACTTTATGAATATATTTAGTACTGCAGGTTATAAGAGAATGCACTGAAGTTTAGCATATTTACATCGTATTATGCCTACTACATATTTCATGCATCTTATTAAATCTCATTAGCATACCCATACATAGCATCATATTCAAACAGTAGTAGTTCATAAAATAACATCTTATAATTTGAACGAATGATATCGAAACATCAATTAATTTTCAGAATTAAAATGAACATTCCAGACATCACAGCTATTTTATCTACTTGTCAGCATCTACGCAATATGCAAACAAACACAGAGCAAAATTCTATAAATGAGAATACAAAAATAAACATAATAAAAAATTTGTTTATCTATTTCTATTTGGAAAATAAAAAAAAATCTACACTAAAATATCAAACAACATGACACTGTTGTGTGTACCAACAGAATTAGTGCATACAATTTGGGACATTTGTATCATTAATAAAGTTCTATTGAACTAGGCAACTGGAAAAATATATCAGCACAATAAACAGTCAAAATTGAAAACTGGTATTAATAACTATAAATCTAGACAAAAACTATTAGAACAGCCTCGAGTGTTTGTTACTCTCAAGCGCGGACTATATTTGAAGTCCTATTTTAAAAATGCGCTAAATAGAGCTGAAAAGCATAGAAACTACAAAGAACAAGAAAAGACATGCACATCTGTGGAACAAAACGAAAACAGACTCACTATCGCTAGCGTCTTTAATGGATCCGGCAGTGACGTTCAATTTTATAATATTGCAAAAAGAAAATACAAAACGGTCTTAATCATAATAAAAAGGTCTTAAGCGTTGATTACAGAAGTGATCTCTTATTAATTATAGTTGATAACCCACCGGAATCACTTTTTGAGAAAGTCATTAGTTATTACTTGATAATATTAATACATTTGTTTTGAACCTTACTTAGCAAATTAATCAACCTAATAGATATAATCTTCTCACTAATCCCTGCGTTGTCCTTATCTTAACAGTTGTACGACAAGCACACATACCTTCCATTTTTTAATTATCATCTCATTTATTTGTAAAAATAATTATCATATGAATGAAGCTTCACGAGTCTGCGTGTAAATCTGTTCATATTTTACCCTTGTTCTCTTGAATTGAGTTTATGATCATGTTGACATTACGATATTTTCTTGTTCTACTGATACCATTTAAAACATTGCTACTTTATATGGAAATAAACCTGAATCTACAATGTGGCTTACCATGCGTTTCAGAATAGTTATTTGAAGTTGAAGTAGTTACCGTTACGACTGTTTAGTACAATTGGTAAAGTGTAGGTTTTCTCAAATATATGATTAAAAGGAAGACGTAAAGATGATTCGATGAAGGTCGTATTCTCCAGTTCCCTGAAGATATATATTCACGACAGGAAACTTTCTTTTAACTGCTCATATTTTTCGGAACAAACTAATAATTGGGAAAAGAACTAGAGCTAAAATGTTAACAAAAGCTGATGTAACTTTTTTTAAAGACCCGTATTTACCATGGCATTAAATAGGCCGCTGAATTAGATATGGATTAATGATTTTACATGAAAATAATACTACGAGGATGGTGATGTTCTCGAAAAATTTTTCATTTCAAAGATATAAATATGAACTTTCTAAAATGGTCAGTATGTGTACTTGCAGTAATCAATACTCTGTTTTTGTTATTGTATAAATATTGATATGCCAGGTGGAATTATCATAATAAAACATGCTTCAGAACAAAGAAATCATGTGAGCGTGAGAGAAAACAAATACATTCGCCATACCTTATGGATGTTTCGCTATCATAAATAAATGGAAAACCAGAATCTGTAGCATTCTATCCAACATGCTCTCTATACTATTGAAGCTTAAGTAATCAATAACCAAACGAACAAATACAGTAATGGACTTTGCGATAGGTATATTCTTGTAAGTGAATCAGCTCATTGTATACTACAATGTTACATTTTATTAGCCTATTGTCCTAATATAATGTAATATAAACATCATATATGATCGGTAATTATAACTTATTAGCTTTCAAGTGTCTTTGCCACCTGACTAGTGTACAAGTACCATTTCTCAATAAATGTAAATAGGGAGTACATATGTTTCTTGATCATCTTTTAGTCTACTTGCGTCTAAAACATTACAATCAGATGATCACCTATCAAAATGGTCCGTTAGAGTAATCCTAGTTTATTGTACTATTGAAACATACCGTTAAGCGGGAATCATGTTATGCAAGGTACGAGCAAGAGAATGTAGTTTAAACACCCAGCACCAAGAGATAAAGGAGACCATCACCAATGGTGTAACATGATATCAAAATACATATACTGATTCTGTACTGTGTTCATAAATGATCTAATCATTACAGACATAATGTATTTGCACTGAAAATTTAGATATATGTGGCTTGACATCTTTCCTAGCTTTTCATAGCTATTTCAAAATCGTAATGATGCAATATATTTTACAAGCCGCGCTTTATAAAATATGTACGCATGTTACTGAATTTCAAACAGATTTACAATTAAAAGGACAGTACAAAAGACACCTTTCGAATGAATGGCAGCTTTCGATATAAATTTTGATTTAGATGCAGCAAAGCCAAAAATGAAATAAACTGCATCATACAGCTGTTTTGTCCATCAATGATTCGTCAGTGATGTTAACAAGCTTCAAAACAAAATGAAATACACCTTTGTAAAGGCATGTGTAACATGGTAACGAAATATGACATATACATTATGTAGGATATATTGAGGATAAAGTAGCAAGGCTATATATCATATATAATATTTTATTAGCAAATGGTTTGATTATATGTCAAGGTAGGTTGCAATGGCATTTACGATAGTTCGTGAACTATATATATTGTGAAGTTATGATACCGATATATGTATAATGCATATGATAGTACGCGGGGTAATGGTAACCATTCAACACAAGTGATGGAAACATATTATCGACAAGTCAAATAGGTACTCTGGTGTGACACATATAAAATGTTGTGGAATTATGGTTGTTTTTCATTCTACATAAAAAAACAATATAAAGGACATAAATAACAACTGTATACCCTTGATTGATATTCCAACAGAGTATGCTTTACTTCTGTTTGAAATGACATAATTTGTAGAATCCGTGTTTTATTCAGCAATACATGGGCATTTTCTTGTTTTTTTTATTTGACCCAACACCTCTATCGTATTCACACGATAATATAAATATTTACTAGACATTTCCCCGAATATCCTTTTGACTTTTATAAAACATGGTTTGAAGTAATATGGAGTAATATGCAGGAAGGCAAGCTTTATTATGCGGAATGGAAAGGTTTATCAAGAAGCCGTTTATGGATATTAAGGTGGATAGTATGGTTACCCCTTGTTGTATACAATCCATTCTTACACAGGTATTATCTGTTAGCATAGCGTATGCCCTTGGTTTAAAGTATTTCTGTAAATTAAATGGTACTCTTCTGTATAAAGAATGTTTATAGTATGCATAATTACGTTTATTACTATTATTCATAATGGGCTGCCTTGAATTATGTTTAATGAGAAAATGCTAAACACCAATTTCCTTAACATTATTATGAGATATACAGAGGGTATTTAATGATTTCCCGTTTACATCACATATTTTTCATGTGTATGATATATCTCTTTATCTTTTCTCTCATGAAAAGTACCAAGATATTCTGTCATACTCGTGAAATGTATATGATATTAAACAGGTAATCATAAAAACTTTCTGTTTATTACATTTTCAAAAGAAAAACTGAACGAAAAAAAGAGGCCGATTCAAACAAAAATAAAGCGGCATTAAAAAATATCAGCGTGTTCCTGACGTCAGGATTTACGCTAGACAACACGAGGATGCCATTTGGAATAGAGTGCTTTATATTGTATTCTACTATTTTATGCTGTCATGTGCTAGACGAATCACTTTCAAACTGTTTAATATGCCAAATTTGAGAAAATAACGTAAATGAACATGGGAATTACTTGATGGAAATTTAATTAATTCAAATATCGCTTCATTTTCGTTCGAACAGAAACATCGGCAAATGTTAATACAATGGCTAGAAAACACAGTTCTGGTTGGTCAAAACTACGAAAGTTATATCATTACTAATGATCATGATTTATTTTACCGTAAATATAGTGATGATATAAGTTTTTTTTTAATAAAATAGATAAATTCATATAATACAAGGTCCAAAATGTAACAAATCTCTCAAATATATTCTAAAGCCTACATCACTGTTTATAGGCATCGATACCAATAGATAAATGTAATTACTTTTATTGATTGAGGAAAAAAATTCTTTTATATACACTGTATGATTCCACTGGATTTAAACATATACAGAAGAAAGACATGCTGATCGCAATGAAATGTGGAATATCACCTACTGCGCTAATTTACTACAACTTAATGATCGCCAAGCTCAGCCCAAACTCTGTGTCATCTTAATTACTACTTTTGCTATGGCCTACCATACACACCACACTCTATTCAAGCACAGCATTGACCGATAACTGACACTGTTTATACATACCTTAAACACTGGTCTACAGAGAAAGTTTTCCCGCACAGGGAGAAGTCTAAACAAAAGAATTATGAAGTCTATGTTAAACAAAAACAATAAAGAAATTGCCTCCATGTAGGAAAAATCTGATCTCCTTAAGAATCATGAAACTTTACAACGTATTCCTGATAATAAACTGATGTCTTACATATCATGGCAGTACATACAGGTATTATTTGTTTACAGATAAATACCACCTAATGTTGTAAAATCACAAACCATTTCATTGTCATATATAGATTACTAATACCAAAGTGACGAGAAGCGGTTTATATCCTTATGACCCATATCGATCAACTTACTTTGCCATCTCACTAAGCTGAAGTTTTCCGTCTTTGTTGCGGTCGAAGAGTTGGAGCTAAATAACAGAGAAAATATCTATGCAGTTACTCATGAAAAGACATGTTAGGTCCGTGTAGTTTTACACCTTTTTACGTAAGAGTGTTTCCGTTGGCACGTTAATGGCAACTGCTGATACCTCTTCATTTTGTTGCTTTGACACAATTTAGTCAAATGCAAAGCAGCCAATATTGCGTGTTTGTGACAGGACACATGAGTGAAAGATGTAAACTATTAAGCAAATTGTCTGTACCCTTACTTTACCTTAATATCAAAACATTTATGTATGAGTATACATGATCAAATAGTAGTTGGGCTCCAACACTATCAGTTATAACATGGAACATATTAAATTGTACAAATTCTCAAGGATTACGATGTAGAGCTATTGGTATCTCATTGGAATGGAATAGATAACTGTTCCACAGCATATCGTGATCATTGAAAGAATCATCAAGGACTTGGGATGAATACCGCAGTCCCCGAACATATCGTGATACATAAAAGACTTGTACCACCTCCGCGGATTTTATAAATGATTGCACGGTATGACCTTTATTATAAAGGACAGGTTATACATACCACAGTACCAGTGTAAATTGTGAGTTGTTCCTCAGTGATGGTATTCTCACGCTTCTTCTGTTTCAACAAGTGTCGCAGAAAATTCTGTTTGCAAGAATTTATTTAGAACACTTAATTACGCTTTAAAATGGTACTGGCAAAGAAACGTCCCTGCAGAATTTTTTTTATGTTTCCATATAACCAGGCATTGCCCTACATCCATTCATTACTTCATTTTGACTAACATTATTAGGCCAAATTGCGTTGCATCCTACAAATCAAGGACACTCATAACTTTAATTGATTTAATTATCAATTCAGATGGTAATTAGCCACAATTGCAACTGTTGCAATAAATTTTGTTCCTTATTAATAAAACGAATTATCTGTTTCCTATAAGAGGATTTATTTCATTGCTGCCGTGCAGTTTTATTAACTCCAGATTTATTGTCAATAGTTTCTCCTCTTACCTTTAGTTCGTCAGCTTCGATAAACCCGCTGTGGTCTGTATCGAACTCTCGCCATACCTATAAAAAGTAAGTGGACAATAATTTAATACCAAAATGGTTTTTACTCAGTGATAACCTTGTAACAAACCATGAATGAAGTGGGCAATAAACAGTGGCAAATTCGCTTGTAAATCTCTGTGTGTCTTACCGTATTTTTACTGAATATCATTTTCTGGCTACCACTTCATTGTTTGTAAGCATATTTGTGAGATTATTCGTGGGTTTAAGTTTTCAAAGTAATAATTCGATTTAAAGTTTAATACATCGTGAGTATGAGCCATATGAATGTACTTGGACAACCTCAGGCTGTTACAGTAACTGTTACGTGGTATTGCGATGAATCATAGGAGTACCGGAACAACGAAAACACATGTTAACAAGTCCAAATTAAAAAAAAAGATAGATGAAACCAGACAAAATGAAAACAAATGAAAGATTCACACAAAGACCACATTCTCCAGTACATGGAGAATAGGACCATGCATTCTGGAAGGGTAATCGTCTTCAGTTTAATGAACATGTTTCACAGTTAATAGTGGGCGACATTGTGGTTAAGCCTCGGACTGCCAACGAATAAGCAACAGACAGCCGCACTGTCCCTTACTAGAGCTATACGATAGGTAGTTCACATGCGGTTAAACACATTTTTATGCACAACGCTAGTCATTATATATATACCTATATAGATATACTGATGTGACACAGGCTGGTATAGATGTACCTAGTACAATATCGGGGATAATTCTGAGTAGTTTATGTCAGTCCAAAGTCTCGCTGAGCACCACTTATCGTTGTGAGAGAGGCTGGTATGCAATATTTTGGCAAAGTCAGTGACTCCCAAAGGTTGTTACACTTACAAACAAGCGACAACGAGGTTAAGTTCCGAACTACCTACGGTTGTAAAAGTAACTGTTTGGCGACATTGTGGTTAAGTCTGAGCCTGCGCAATGCTAATGCAGAGAGTGGAGATAAAAAGGCCTTGAACACCAGCATAATAAGGTACACCCAAAGAGTCTGCTTCTTTTCATGATTGTAAAATATACATAATGGGTTTTACTTAATCTAAAGAAAGAATGAACAAGATCATAATGCTGTTGCGACATTAGACAGTAGGGTATATGGCAAATAAAACTGCCTTTGGCGTATAGCCAGTTACTTCATTATTTAGAATCATTGTTTCACCAACGACGATATCTATATAGGGCTCCCCCAGCCTTAACTGTCAGAGGACCCAGCTAAATCGATTACTGATACCTTGAGAATAAAATTAATATATTCATAACTCTTCGGAAAAGGAATCATGTGTATCATCAAGTACTAATAGTCTCCAGTATATTATATTGTTTAATACTTGTATCAAACAGCCCGCTCTGCCCAACGTGTATACTGACATTTACTCTACCCTGACTCTCTTTAAATAACTGAATATTCTGTATCCATTGTGTAACGTACAGTGCGTATAATAATTGATTTGCGCTTGGTAGCATGTGAATTCATTATTAACTTCTAGAAAAATCCATCACACTATTAGGTTTACACAACGGTCTGACCCCCTGCTAGGTTTGTTTCATTTTTAGTATAAACATCAATTACATGCAGTGAACGTATTCTGAAATTACAATATTGGCAAATCAAAAGGCCCACTGGAAACTATCAACAGAATTCGAGGGAACTTGTTGATTGTATACTGTTTACAATACCGAATGTATTACGCCTGGCTATTTGATAATGTATGCCTATACCACTCCTGTAAATAAATAACTATCTGGTTGCATTATTTTGGCTGGTAATATGCCCACAGTTGAAGGCAACTGATACCTTGAGGTAATCATTTGTTCTACATACATATTGACTGGGAAATCCCCTCGAGAAATTGAACTAATAAGCTTATTGACATTGTACGTAGAGACAGACTACTGGAACATTATCGGTGAAACCTGTTCTAGACACACGTTCCGCTTAGGACTCGACATTTCTGATGTTTAATGGAATCAATATCAAAATGGAAGATTTGATGATACTAAAAGTAAACATATGATATTCAATAAAACGTTGACTGTTGTACTATTACATACCTTCCAAAGGTAAAATGACCTAACTGTCATTTGTACTCGATCAAAGATTGTAAAAAACATTAACAATTGTACAGCGCTTTCCAATACCTATTAAGAGCACGATGCAGTGTAGCCAGATAATGAAGTAAATGGCATTATACAGCCTACATTTTGAACCCGAGAGGCGACTGAGGGAAATTTAAAGTGATCTACATAGGAAATTATGTATCGATCACACCAAAAATAATTAAATGTCTTATTTTTCAACGAATCAGGTTATATGCAAATATTTCAATATGTTGTTATAATAAATCTTTTTGATCCTCCAAACACATCAGATACATTTTCATAGTTGTAATTAATCCTCACATACACAAATGCCACAGATATGGTTGTCTCAAGTCATCTTTATCAAAACATCAATGCAGGTTCATCATCGGTTGTCTATATTCTAATAACAGATATACCGAACTCTATCATAGTTAATGTTGATAATAAAAGCAATAAAACAAATAAGGCAATTATGATTTGCATAAAATGATCTGATGTAAGATTCTTGAAGATTGTTTTGATGTCAAGCCAGCCGACTGCATTAGTATGTGTCACCTACTAATCGATCCGTCGTAAGAAAATATAATGCTACTTTTCTAAAATCTCACTACGGACCTTTACAAATTCACCATCGCATTTCAAAATTTCTGATGGAATTATTTGAAACGAAACGTCTTTTTATGTTTTAAAATTTTGAAAATTGATTTGTTTTCATGCAAGATCATTATTTCTTAATTCTCTTGTATCATCAACACTATCCAAATGCAGTATTTATGGCATATGAACTTAATTACAGCGAAGCAATTTGGGAACCTATCGTACTTCTTTTTTGGTGAAAACTATTTTCTATCTGAACAGTCATTAAAACATGAAAACAATTATAACTTTATGGAGATATTCAATTGGAAGTTGTTCATAACAAAAAATATAGGGTTGTTCCAATATTCATTTACCTATTAGTCTGTTGTTCTTATTGTGATCAGTTTTACCAATAAGTTACGCTGATATTTTAATTGCAGCGTGGGAAGTAAATATTACTATTTCGACAATATTGATTTGTCTATGTATGGGGAGACATATAGAAAATAATTGGACATGAAAAAATCGTAAGAAAACTCTGATCAATAGATATGTTTTAATCTCAAACCGTTACCTAATTTATGCAAATACATGTAGTGCATCCTAACCTGACCCAACGTAATCTTCCAATATGTAAAAACTCAACACGAAAATACCAACATGTCATCATAATCATAATCTAAAATCAATAAAACTGGGCAAAATATCAACAAAAGAAAAATTTAAACGGGAACTTATAAGAAAATTATAAAATTATAAGAAAACTAAGACCAAGTGTTCCGAAAGAGCAACATCTAATAACGACTTCCGCTATGTTAACCCCAGTAATGCCACGTTCTCTAATGAGAACAAGGTATGTAACAACGAAACCAACATGTTAACTAACAACTCCAAACAGGTCCAGCTTCATATAGCACAAATAAATAGAAATTGATATCTCAATAAGACCAAGACCAGGTGTCCCGGAAGAGTAATCGTCGGCACAAGCAAGTAATGTCACGTTCTCAAACGAGAATAAGGTATACAACAACAGAACCAACAGATAACCTAACGAGCACCGAACACGTCAAGCTTCATATCGCACAAAAAAAAAACAACAAAAGAATTTCTCGATGAGATCACTATGATGACCGTACAACTTCCACATATTTTTTGTCAACCTGAAACCCTTTGATACGAGTTTTTTCCACAGTTGACAACTTCATTAACGAAAATCGTGAAAACTGGAACAGACCTTTTGAATATCGAATCAACAGCATCATAGGTTTTGGGTCCAGGATGTTGCTATCCAGAAATGGAAAATTCACAGAGGGGAATTTGAAATCAGCGGGTTTATTGTACAGCTGGTTGGAAGCTGTCTTAGTTAGTTACCCTATAAAAAATAGAGATAAGCGGCTGATAATGAAGAGTCTATTGTTCCATTGTTTTTTGTTATTCTGGTGATATAGACAATGGACGTGGTCAATGCCGTTTCTTGGTTTTGAAAGACAAGTCGTCATAAATATATCTGATATGAAATAAAACGACATTGCATGGTATTTGTGATAAGTTCTGCCATAAATTCAGCCTCCTTTGAAAACAAAAAAAAAAAAAAAAACCCTCATCGAACAGAGGGGCACAGATAAATCTTATCACCAAACTCAACGAAGATATTGCCAACAAAAAACTCAATCTTTTAAATAATTTTTCCTCTGTGTATTTCTTCTTTCGTTGATTTGGACGTATAATTCTACGAAATAGGCTTCAGTAGAGTTCACAAACATATTTTTGTACCGCCGTTCTTAGAAAGGAAAGATCTCATAACAAGACAGCGAAGAGATTACTTCATTTCAGAATGGGATATGTGGTGTACAGAGTGAAAAAATTAAATGTCTTACAGAAGAAATGTGTTTTAGAAGAGATTGTTGAAGATTGACTAAAAGCTCTTTGGAGTTCTTTAATATCACACACTGTTAATTCCACTCCTTGAGTAAACAGTATCACAGAGACTGTAACTTCATGGTGCTAAGAATGGTGGTTAGTAGTTTGACGAAGGTTTGGTTGAACAGCTAGACAAGCTAGCAATAAAATATGGTTTATATGGATTCTTGTAAAGTTTAGTATAGTATGGATATGTATACGTATAATGATGGACTAAGTCGGACTAGATAACCTAATTCATGAATTGAAAAATAAAACTCACATGCTGAGATAAGATTTTTCTTATAAATGCAATGCAATAATGGGGGCTACCTTGTAGTAAATGTGATACATATTTGTGTTTTAAGGCTATGTTTCATGACGGGAATTAATACTTTTTGAATTTACAAAACATTAATATAAGGCAATAATACAAACTGTGTTACAGAACGATCACTTAAAATATGGGACTTGAACTCTATTGCACATAAGTCAGGGAGAAGGTACTCATAATTAACATATAGCAGGTAATCTTACCTTCATGAACTCGACACTGGAGTCAAGTGGATGATCTCGTCGAAATAACAACAGGAAATTTTCCTCTGTTGGCAGGATTTGTGCAAGCTGTGATGATAACAGAATTTAGTAATAATTGCATTTTGCTATTGGAAAATTGTCAAATGAGAATTAAAAACACCATATTTTACTTTTTATGTTTTAGTTGATTGCTTACCTCGGCAATATCGATTTTACCATCCCTATTTTCGTCGAAGGCATTGAGAATTAATTCTTTTGCTTCTTTAAGCGCACTTTCTGAAACAACCTGCAGGTACAAAAAACATTAATCACTGTTAATTCAGGTAACGATACATCAATTGCTTTTATCTTAATTAGTATAACTAAGATCTAGACATTTCTATCGATCAATTTTGATTTTCCTAAGTCGCCTCCTAGGCCTTCACAATTTAGCTTCTTAGCATCACTGACGATTCCTCGAAGGATGCAACAGCTGTATAGTGCAGTTTAACTCAGTGTTTGGCTCTACTCTATCATCAAAATTGCATTGAAAGGCGCTGTTCATTTGTGTGCCTTTGTACAATCTTAAGAGCACAACAAGGTGTCCAGGGAAACAGGTCATGTGAATTTTTAAGCAGACGCACTATGAATTATGTAAAAGCAGTAGTATTCGCAATTATCCACATCAAACTCTATTTTTGCTGTAGATGTTAGTTATTGTCCCAACAGGACTCTTTTTCCAATACCGTGTCTCGATACCAGATAACACTTATTATAACATTTTTTTAAATAATTGAATTATGGTATGAAAAATGTCGCTATTTTCCCCTATATCTCTTTTCTATGTAAAGTTTTATTTGCATGAACATCAAATATGTCCATTTCAATACCAAAGACAAAATGGAATAATAAACACTGATCAGGTTATAGAAACTGTTATATATCTAATATTGATATTCCGATCGTCGTTTCCGAAACTCTAATCAATTAAAAAAATCATTGTGTTTCAAAACTAGTTACATTTATTAAAGAGCTTTTAGCCTTTCAACGCTATATTTGTACCAGCAGATAACACTGATGCCCAAGGGAAGGAAACGTATTGTCTTTATCCCAGTCAGTCATGGATTTTTGACTCAGGATTAGATAGAAAGTAATCAAACTCCGAAAGAATACCAAGTGTGAGAGAGCCTCGTTAATCATTGATTGGTCTCCGAGAACAAATTATAACCCACGTGTGAATCACCTGTTACTTACGAAATAGACACTACACTGCTTCTTGATAGCAGTAATAAACACACACTTTTCGTTTCTCATCAATAAACAATTTCAAATTGCTTTAAAGCTACCTTAGAAATCAACATCAAGACAAAGCCACATATTGCTTTAAATTAGTTACCCATATTATCTATACATCAGTGTTTAGAAAAGGTGTTTTTACTTCCAACAAAGGTTCAAAAGGCATGCAATTGACTAGGATAAAGGTATAACAACCGGGGACACAATATAATTCCTATGTCGTAGCTACAATGCATGGAGAATTCATTGATGTAATAAACAACTGAACTGGTCTCTATATGTTATCATCATTCCACTCTTCTTTGATCACTAATAAACACTTAAGTAACACATACAGACAAAACTTGCATATTGGTTCTGCACCAAGGTATCATGAAGAATTGTACTAATTTGCATAAAATTTGCTTTCAGTGATATTACCTATTATAACAGATGCGCACAACAAAAATTAATATGAATGAATCCTCATCATTTCCTTAATTACTAAATAAATCCCTTCTTACGAAATCGCTTCCGCTTCCGGATATTTTTACCAATTTTGTTTTGTGTTTGTAAACTACGAACATGGCAATTTCGGAAGAAATCGAATGGCATCAATGTTACCCATGTCATTACCTTAGGTATAATTAGGACTTCGTATAATTGGAATCAGGTAATTGAACTCTGGTAATGTGTACGAGGGTAATCACATTCTATATCCGATATCGATTATCGAGTCTACAGCTAATCCATTACATATGTGTCAGCGCAGCATGATAATGTTATTGTTATAAAATGGGAAACAATAGAAGTGTATATAAAGCATTTTCGTTAAATTCTTGTAAATGGACAGAAGTAAACTGCGATGGTTCTTACATCTGTGTCCTAATTCCAGTATCCATGTGGCAGATAATAAAACTTTTAATCAAACTCTTATTTAGTCAGCGATGCGGTGAAATAAGTATCTACAAACTTCCGCATCCTTTCTTACCCAGCAAAGATTGCACAAATGACGTACAAGTGAATATCACCTTTCAATAATTTAGAGTTAGATACAATAGAGCTGAACGCTATTCTTTGAGTGAATTAACACGTAGCATGCATGTTACGGCAAACCTCAGGAACTTCCACAAGGAGTGTCTACCACCTGCTATCTCAAATATTGTAATTGGGATTTGTTATATATATATATATATACATATATACATGGCAAAACCTATGATGTTCTATTATAAGTGTGACAACACGCTATGGTATCAAATAAGGTAAAAAAGCTGTAGTAGAGCCAAATAAAGAATTAAGCTGCATTATACAATTGTTCCATCCTTCTTTTCACATACAACATCATTTCTGATTTCGGAGCCTCACAATGCTCTTGACGATTACACACTTTTAATAGCAATGACGTTTCAATTGACTCTTTATTTGAAAATCAATACAACACAGGAAAACGGTGTCTTTAGGCTGTCAGTATAGGTACCTTATCAACGGGATAACACAAGATATATACTTACAACAAGCAATGTTTTTAACATAAAAACGGTAAACGAAACTGGTTAGGACATTATTGAATTATCTCAATTATCGGTTTTATGGATAATTGTTTACGGCAACGAGCCTGTTTTACCGCGTTATGAGGACATTTCACGAATAGCTACGGTCAATTTACGGCAGTGTAGCGCAGCTAGATGGTCTCGGGTCTTGTGTGTTGATCATAAATAGGGACAATATAAAAAGGTGTATCTTGGGAAATGTTGGGAAAGCGCACAATGGCAAGCTATGATACACACCAATGAGTGCCATCTCTAAATCACAAAAATATAGAAAACAACCTGTACAACAGGTTTCGCTTCCCGGCCCGCATATGGCACACACAATGCTGCAAACTTGCGATTCAGACTACCCCTATCATCAAGATTTATTACAAACTTACTTCCAACTGTCATTCGGTTTCAACATTAGGGTTAAACTGAAATTCAAAGTGAATCTAGACCACTAACAGGTCAGCAAGCGCCCCGCTATGTAGTTGGAATCCCCCAGCCCATCCTCCAATCTTAAACAAATCATCCTAGACGAACAGATTTCTTGCAAGACCTGCCACAAAAAAACAAAAAACAAAAAAAATTAGAGCTTGGGATATAGCAATATTCCAAGAAATCATTTTTGGTAAGGAGAATTGTAAATTAAGCAAATTATGGTTATCACACAGAAACGGATTTTTACTTATAGTTACAGTGACCTTTGACTTTTGGACCTGAATGACAATCTATCTTCAATAAACGCTTTTGATTTAGCAGCATTGCATCAATCAAGTTTGAGTTAGATTCAAAAATCAGAAATCACGAGTTATTCCACAAACTAGATTCTCTTCCATTTAGCCCTACGGCTTACTAGTTAAATAATATGCACTTGTCAACCTGTTGGGTGCGCGACACTGAAGTTCAAAGTTGAAAATTATCTTATCGATATTGCATTTCACGTGCCTGACCCATGTGAGAGGTCACCATATAAAAAGACATAACCAAGCCTAGACACACGCTTTTTTGTCAGTCAGGGTGCGTGACAGACATTAAGCCAGAAGGGAAGGATATCTTGCGGGTCTCGCGTCCGGGATTTGCATTTGCTTGGTAAAGTTTCAGCCATTTGAACTTATTTTTATTGATTCCTTTCCTTCGCTCCGCGAATTTCATTTGTTTACATTTGGTTATCAGCTGTACGGTTATGCGTCGTAAGCAGGCTCGCGGTAAACGGTTGCCTTTGTCGGTGACTTTCGATAATTGTGAGTCTGACGATGACCTCTCTCTCCATCCCGGAGAGACGGAGGCAGAGGGGTGTGATGATTTCTTTCCGGGACCCCTTCCCGATTTGAGTTCGGGTCTAAGCGACTCTGTCGCTTGTGCAAGTGATAAGGACTCTGCACAGCCGCAGTCACCGAACGTTGTTCGGAATGACAAATATGGCGGCGTCGGAGGCGATGCCCCGACTGTTCCTTTGCCCCGTGGGGGTAAGAAACGTCCCGTCTGCTCTGAGGCTGCCGCTGGTAGCGAGTTTCAACTCATGGCGAAACGTATGAGGGCTCTGGAGGAGCAGTTAGCAGACGTTAAGCGGGACCGGGCGAGTTCCCGTACAGGAAACCAAACGGCTGGTGGGTACGGCAATGATTATGTTGTTGACAGTTTTGACTCAGATTTTTTTTAGTATGACGGACCCGTTGTGTCTTCAAGATACAGAACAATCTTCCATTGAGTTAGATGATATATATTCTGATATTTTACCCACAGAGGAAGGTCATATGGAGGACTTGTTCGCCATCCCTGACTATGTATATGGTGATGTAAAGTTGGGCCCTAGTGTTCACGAGGGACTTGCCAAACTTGTAAATACTGCTTGTAGAAAAACGTCGGACGTTTCTAAAATGGCAGAAAAATACCCTGTACCGGCAAATTGTGCCGATATGACCGTCCCACGATGTAACCCTGAGATTTGGGGTAAACTTGGTAAGCCTTTACAGGCAAGAGATTTTCAACTTAAAGAGGCCCAGAAGTCGGTGTCTGACGGTATGGTACCTGTGATGAGGCTGACTGAGGCTCTTATGAGTCATCCAGACTTTCGAGAGAAGTTCAGGCCTCTGTGTATTGATGCTCTGTCCATGCTAGAGAATGCAGTACATACATTGTCTTTGAAACGTAGGTTTCTTATGAGACAAGCTCTCCCGCCATCATATCATGCCTTATGTGGGAAAGACATGCCAATAACTTCAAATCTATTTGGGGATGATCTTGCAAGGAAGGTGAGAGACATTTCTGAGGCTAATAAGGCTTTCAATGTTTTGTCTTCACGAAAACAGGTACAGTGAGGAGGTTGGAGTGGCGGCCAGAGAGGGCGAGGGGGCTATAGCCAGTACAGAGGCTCAGCAAGGCCTTTTTTACGGTCGGGCCAGCGGGGCCGGGGACAACGGCGACCCGCATACATACATCAAAGTCAAAGCCAGACACAGAAAAAAGAATAGCCCCTAAGGTGAGTGTTCCATCT